AGTTTTGGCTGCTAGATCCCAATCATTGTCACATTAAACTGTTATGTCTATTTGGGTTGCTAAACCAATTTTGGTAATAACACGGAACTATTAACAACTGACATACAAGTTGGAGGTAGCGCTTTCAATAAAACCAGATTTAACCCGCCATTTTTTTCAAAAATGCCTCTACGAAGTCATGAATATGACAGTTGTTTTCCACTCGTTCCGTTGGTTGATAACGTTTGATTTTGTCAGTTTTTATGGACTTCCCCTTTTTGCATTTTAACTTGGAGTTTGGAAATTTTGTTATGCCCTTTTAGTAATAGGTAGACTGTTTGTATCTATTGAACATATCAGAAAAACTGCATCTAAATAAGATGTTGGATCAATTTAAAATTAGTGGAAACCTTCATTACTTTTAATTAATAGTTTAAAGAAGAATTCCAAAGATCGTAAATTCTAAGATAAACTGTCATTTAAATTATTTTCCCTTTGAACAAAGAACGTACATTAAGAGTTAAACTTTCTTCATGATTGGCATATAGAAGGAAAATAAATACATAATAAAATGCTTCGCCGAGCACAGCCTGATACGACCGCAGATGTCGAACCCTGAACAGTTGGGGCAAGTTTGGACACAATATTCAAGCTTGATACTGTCTGACTTTGGATTGTGATCAAATTTTTGACATAATATAGGTTTCTGACACAAAATAAATGGGGTCAAAGATCCTAAAAATTTAAAATGGGACATTTAATTTACCTAGTATGGTCTGAAATCCAAAATCTAACAACATGGATAGATTCAGCTTATAAAAAACACCAAAAATTTAATTTTAGTTGAAATCAAACGAAGTCTAATTTTGGACCCTTCAAACCTTAATATGGACTAATTTGAAAACAGGGCCCAAAATAAAAATCTAAATGCACAGTAAGATTCCGCAAATAATACAGCCGCAATAATTCAGTTTTTGATGAAATCTAACAAAGTTTAATTTTGGACCCTTTGGACCTCAATGTAGACCAATCTAAGAATGGGGCCCAATATCCAAAATAGTAACACAAGGTTAGAACCCCCCAAAATTAAAGACTTAATTTGATCCCATTTAAATTGATTGAAAGATTTGTATTTATTTTCAATTGAAGATTTCTTGCTATCACGCAATACTGTGCTGTTGCACAATATTTAGTTAATCTGTTATATATAATAATTTACACACCCTGTTTGGTGTGTATCTCCTGCCATATCAGTATTTGTTGCTTTCATATATAAATCAGAAATAATCAATGGAAAAATAGAAAATTTTTGGAAAAAAAAATCCCCCAAAAAATTTGCCCCCCCCCCCTTTCTGAGGTCACTTTTGATGTAATTCGAATCAATGAAAGATAAAAATGTCTACTTTTTCCTAGATCATGACCTACTTCCTTGAGTGCATCTGAGATGGAATGATCATGCATCTCACACTTACCAATATAATCCTAGGCAAGACATAAACTGTATTGTAAACATAGAAGAAAGTAAGCATGAGTGATGGTTAAAATGTTCTCTTAATCACTGAATAATGACATATTCATCAAACTACACTTTATTAGGTCAGTTAATAGGATCCTTCAAAATCAAAATCGATCTTGTAATAGTGAGATTGAATCTTTGAAACCAAAGCAGTAAAAACATAAAAGATAGGTAAAATGTTTGTTTCTGGATTCTCACTTACACCATAGACTCATCTGTGAATGATTTTTATCTATTTGAAAAAGAGAAAATTTAATATTAGCTGAAACCACCTTTAAGAAGCATCCGAAAAGGTTAGTGCCTGGAGCTTCATTTCTGCATTATGATACATTTTGTCTAAATATATGTTTGTATTTTTTGCCTTTGCCATTTCATTTATAGTAATTGGTGCTGGTGATTTTAGCATTCTCTGTTAATTCTATTAAATGTCTTGCCTAGGACTGGATTAGAGTTTGATACATGAGAAAGAGACTTGTAAGTTCATAGCATCAAAATTTGATCCAGTACATGGTATGGTTAGATACAAAATAGATATCTTTCAACAGCTAGTATGTATAAAAATAAGAAGATGTGGTATGATTGCCAATGAGACAACCCTCCACAAGAGACCAAATGACACAGAAATTAACCCTGAATGTTTCATTTTCCTAATGTATTGTGAGATTTGTGAAGATTATCTAATCTCTAAACTGACCAGAATTTTCTTTAACTGCTTCTTATAGCTCTAATAATTATATTAATCCAATGGACACATCCTACTACCTCCTCTATTGAGATAATCATTCTCAGCATTACTACATTACTAAAAAAATAAAATGCTTCGCTGGGGCGCAGCTTGATACGACCGCAGAGGTCGAACCCTGAACAGTTGGGGCAAGTATGGACACAACATTCAAGCTTGATACAGCTCTGAATTTGGATTGTTATTAAATATTTGACACAGCATAGGTTTCTGACACAGAAAGAATGTGGTCTAAGAAATTGAATTTTTTTAATTTACCTATTATGGTCCAAAGTCCAAAATCAAAATACATGGTTAGATTCAGCATATCAAAGAACCCCATATATTCAATTTTTGTTAAAATCAAACAAAGTTTAATTTTGGACCCCAACTTGGACAAACTTGAAAACTGGGCCCATAATCAAAAATCTAAACACATGTTTAGATTCAGCATATCAAATAACCCCAAGAATTCAATTTTTGCTAAAATCAAACTAAAGTTTAATTTTGGACCCTTTGGACCTTAATGTAGACCAATTTAAAAAAATGGACTTAAAATTAAAAATCTAAATACACGGTTAGATTTGGAATATCAAAGAACCCCAATAATTCAATTTTTGATGAAATCAAACAAAGTTTAATTTTGGACCCTTTTGACCTCAATATGAACCAATTTGATAGCGGGGCCCACAAATAAAAAATCTAAATTCATGGTTAGATTCAGCATATCAAAGAACCCCATATATTCAATTTTTGTTGAAATAAAAAAAAGTTTAATTTTGGACCCCAACTTGGACCAACTTGAAAACTGGGCCCATAATCAAAAATCTAAACACATGTTTAGATTCAGCATATCAAATAACCCCAAGAATTCAATTTTTGCTAAAATCAAACTAAGTTTAATTTTGGACCCTTTGGACCTCAATGAAGACCAATTTAAAAAACGGGACCCAAATTAAAAATCTAAAAACACGGTTAGATTTGGCATATCAAAGAACCCCAATAACTCAATTTTTGATGAAATCAAACAAAGTTTAATTTTGGACCCTTTTGACCTCAATATGAACCAATTTGATAGCGGCGCCTACAAATAAAAAATCTAAATACATGGTTAGATTCAGCATATCAAAGAACCCCATATATTCAATTTTTGTTGAAATCAAACAAAGTTTAATTTTGGACCCCGATTTGGACCAACTTGAAAACTGGGCCCATAATCAAAAATCTAAATACATGTTTAGATTCAGCATATCAAAGAACCCTAAGAATTCAATTTTTGTTAAAATCAAACTAAGTTTAATTTTGGACCCTTTGGACCTTAATGTAGACCAATTTGAAAACGGAACCAAAATTTAAGAATCTAAATACACAGTTAGATTCGGCATATCAAAGAACCCCAATAATTCAATTTTTGATGAAATCAAACAAAGTTTAATTTTGGACCCTTTGGACCTCAATGTGGACCAATTTAAAAACGGGGCCCAAAATCCAAAAACTAAATACATGGTTAGATTCAGCATATTAAAGAACCCCATGAAATCAAGAATAAAACCCCATTGAAATTGGTCCAGAAATAAGCAATTTATAGGAAGTATCTTCTTTTGCACAATCCTGTGCTATTAAATATTTCTTGCTATTGCGCAATACTGTACAATTGACAATTTCTTGCTATTGCGCAATATTGTGCTATTGGATATTTCTTGCTATTGCGCAATACTGTGCAATTGAAGATTTCTTGCTATTGCGCAATACTGTGCAATTGAAGATTTCTTGCTATTGTGCAATACTGTGCAATTGAAAATTTCTTGCTATTGCACAATACTTATTATATAATAATTTACACATCCTGTTTGGTTTGTATCTCCTACCATATCATTATTATTTGATTTTAAATATAAATCAGAAATAACCAACTTAAAATGGAAAATTTTAAAAGAAACAAAAAAGGAAAAAAAGAAAAAAAAGGAAAAAAAAATAAATCCCCCCCCCAAAATTTTTTTAACCCCCATTATGATTCATCACCCCCAAACTCAATCCCAGCCTTCCCTTTGTGGTATGGTACCTTGCAGTACAATTTCAGAGAGATCCATACACTTGAACACAAGTTATTGTCTGGAAACTAGAAAAAAATGTGTTTTTTGGCCCCTTTTTGGCCCCAAATTCCTAAACGTTTAGGGCAATTACCCCCAAACTCAAACCCAGATTTCCCTTTGTGATATGGAACCTTGTAGTACAATTTCAGAAAGATCCATACACTTACACACAAGTTATTGTCATGAAACTAGAAAAATGCTTGTTTTTTGCCCCTTTTTTGGCCCCTAATTCCTAAAATTTGGAGGCAATTACCCCCAAAATCAATCCCAGCATTCCTTTAGTGATATGGAACCTTGTGGTACAATGTCAGAGAGATCCATACACTAACACACAAGTTATGTCTGGAAGTTACAAAAATGCTTATTTTTGGCCCCTTTTTGGCCCCTAATTCCTTTACTGTTATTACCATAACCCCCAAAATCAATCCCAACCTTCCTTTTGTGGTATTGAACCTTGTGGTAAAATTTCATAAAGATCCATTCACTTAAACTAAAGATAGAGTGCGAAAACCAATGTGTCTTCGGACGACGCCGGACGACGACGACGACGACGACGACGACGACGACGACGCCGGACGACGACGACGCCAACGTCATACCAATATACGACCACAAAAATTTTTTTGCGGTCGTATAAAAAAGTTGGCAATGTCATATATACTCAAAGGCTTGAAAGATTAAAACAACTTGCTTTATATTTCATAATTTACTTTAATATTTAATTTTTTTTGTCAAATATATGTAACAAAAGCCAATAATATGTAGTTAAATGAAAAAATATCATTCTTTGCTTTAGTGTGCTGTTTCATAAAGTGAATCTATGAAATCATACAGCAAAACAAATACACTTATAAGACAATAATTCAACAAAACAACACATCTTTATCTAAGCAGTGTCAATCCTGACTTGCCATATCTTATATCTAAATTTAAATAATAAATTATCAAATTAAGCTATTTCAAAAACATCATAAAAAGTCGACAAAAAGTTAAATGTTCTACAAAGAAACACAGCCCAATTAAAACTTCCTAAAATGATCATGCAGGCTGCTTACAAAGACTAACTGTGTAATATAAAACCACACATAGAGCATTTTACTACAGACATTAGTATAGCTTATTATTAAATATGCCAAACATATTTTTTTGATGATGTTGTGGGAATTCTATGTGACTTTCATACAAGTGAGAGGTTTCACTAGATATAAAACCATGTTTAATACACCATTTTCTACATGAAATGCCTGTACCAAGTCAGAAATATTACAGTAGTTTCCATTCGTTTGATGTGTTTGAGCTTTTGATTTCGCCATTTGATAAGGGACTTTCTGCTTTTAATTTTCCTTGAAGTTCGGTATTTTTGTTATTTACTTTAGATGATGATGATGATGGAAGGCTGCTTAACATCAAGCTGCAAATTAATATGCATATTCAGGACGAGAACATGTTAATGTAATATGAATATTTACCCATTTTACTTTAGAGAAGAATCCTTTCATAATAACAAATTTTATTGGTGTATAAATCTTTTGTATCAATTTTTAATATTCTTAGTTTTGTGCAAGTATTCAAAATTACTACACATCTACGCCAATATTACTACACAAATTTTGATTTTCAGGTTGAAACTGCCTACTCAAATAGTTTTTATAATCCGTTTGAGATTTAGATCTACAGTGCAAAAAATCCTCATTTGGATTTCATCCAAGATATCGAAAAGTGCATTTATTAAAATCATTATTGGCAACTTTTTTTTTAGAAACTTAATAAGTTGCTAGATTGATCCCTCATAAAGAATCAGTTTGACAAAAAAGTTGCTAACCAAAGGTGGTTCCCTTTTAAGTGATTATTTTCACTTTGCAATATTCTCCAATATAATCTGAAATTGAAAGATCTTTTGCAGTTTATCTATATCCCATTAGTTATATTACCAAAAGGGATTTTATGTCCCAATTGTTCTCAACCTGTGGATCCCCAAATCATATTTTGACAATGAGAGTGATAAAAGAGAGGGGGAAAGATGTCAAAAGGACATTCAAACTCATAAGTTGAAAACAAACTGACAATGGATAGTTTATTAATCCCTTAAAATATTGAAAGAATATTTAAAAAAAAACATTAAAGAATGAAAACAAAAGGGAATTTTCTGTCTTGATGTATGACACTTTTTCACACCTCTGACAATTTCTGATTAATAATTCACTAATTATGATTTTTTTCCAAGAACTTTAAAATGATGTTCTAATACATATTACACTTGGAAAAATATATGAAAAATGTTTACATTCACAATATTTCTGTCAAAATATTTGCAGAAGCTGCTAACAAATAGACATACTTCAAATATGTTCAAATGTTATTTCTAAATGACATTTTGTGCATGTAACAATAATGTATCCAAAATCAACTAATTTGCTTGGTTACTGCCTGTCTACATGTGAAATTCATAAAGCTGTCATCCAGTACTCAACAGCCAGGAAATGCTCTGAAAAGAAAATTACAATCTAATCACACAGCAATAATAGTAAACATTTCACATTTAAAAGTCCCAGCTTCATATGTATTAATCACTAATATTATCATTTTAATACAGAATAGAATAAGCAATCCAAAGAATCCAGGGATAATTTCAAGATATATTGTATTGTTCACTGTAGCAATATGTATATAACTAACTTTTTTTAAAACTATTTATCAAACAATTTCCAGTCTTGATGTCTTATACAGTATGTATACTACTGGTCGATGACCAGTTACTGTCACCTTCAGTTACCATCACCTGCCATCTTATTTAACCATGGAAACATTGCGTAAAAACAACATACTGCTAATATCTTAAGACAAATAAATGTTTTTACTTCATTTGTAAAGTACATGTTTTGTTTGATCTGATTAAGATAGGGAAATCCTCAATTTTCTATAAATTGAAATGTTATGGGAAGATACACATGTGGGGACATTATGTAATCGTTTTATGACATCCTTGATATTGGAAAGATTATTGTGTGTAGACAAAGTAATCTGGCAAAGAATCATATATGAGTAATTATGCAAAGGCATCTACTTGCATCGTAACACTTTACTCAATCATTCTGATTCTGGACTCGGTCACAGACCAGTTACTGTCACAATTTCACAGTTTTTCTCAAATAATTTTTAACAGGAATTCTTTGGGGAAATATACAATTTCTTTTGAAAAAACTTATTAATAAATGACTTATAAATTACAAGATTAAAGTCTATACGTCTCTATATTACAGTGCAAGTGGTTACCTACAAGTGACATAAAGTTTATATTCAGAGCAAGAAGGAGACCTTTAAAATAAGACCAAATTATTGGTCAGACTGGTGATGTGTTTGGTTCAATTGACATACCTCCCCCTCTCCGTGCTACACAAAAACAAAATACAACATTATTGTCCCGATTACATGTCAATTCTATCATAATATCAAGTTTCAAAAGTGGCGGAAACTGGTCATTTTGTACCCCTAAAATTTCCTGCAAAAATTGGCATTCTAGTTTATAAAAGAGGAATTAAAAATAAAAAATCAAGGTCTATAGTGCAAGACCTAACTTTTGGTAACCCTTTAAATGTTAAAAGGATATTTCCCCAAAGAGTTCCTGTAAAAATTGTTTGAGAAAAACTGTGAATTTCTGACGGTTACTGATCCATGACTAGTAGAGTCCAGAATCATAATGATTGCGTATGTTTACAAAGGCATGATATGATGTGATTCCTGGCATGAATACCCAATATATTGAATGTGTGAAAACTGAAACATTATCTCTGGCATGACAATACTGAGTTCATGAAACTCAGACATTATAAATAGCACTATAACTTAGGTAAATTTCTAGTCCAAGACCTTTCTGGTGTCGGACAGCCTTTTTTATGACATGTAAGGCCCGCAACCCATGACCCAGGCATGTTTTTGAAAGGCCCTCAGACATTAGAGCACTCTCAGATTAGTATAATTCTTATATAAAACTTATGCATGACTGAGCTCCCTAACATGACTAAATGCAGGAAAACGAGGCATGATTACTCGCATGATTACATAGGTAATTTGTGTGGTATAATTACATAGGCTGTAAGCAAGAAGTTTGGACATATTATCTAGCATTATCAGGCAGGTGTAAGTTCAGTTAGTTCTGAATGTAGGAAAACCCATCCAAGATTTGCTGGCAAAATACCTATGTCTGTTTTTGATATCACTATTCTAGTAAAATCATTGATAAATAATCAAGTTAGTATTACTTATTTAAGCTAACTTTATATGTTACTGAACTGTTGCTGAGTGGTAATAACACAGACAAATTAATTTATCTTAAATGTCTGTATATTTATTATTTTTAATATTGTAATTCCGTATAAGAGGGTTAAACTTTTCACTGAGTTTTTCTTTGAAAGAGCCTTTAACCAAACTCTATGACCCTGACTTTGAAGTATTAAGTAACTGTGCTACAAACATGTGGAAAAACTGTAGCCCAATAACAGACAAATTTGCACTTAAGACAAAAGTTAGCAATTTAGCATCATATATTATTGAAAACAGAGCACACAGACCACATATCCAGTTCATTTTGTCATAATGATTAATATCTGTTCAAAACTTGTGTTTGAAGTGGTTAATGTATTGATTTATTGATTATAATTGCATAATTCATGTAATTTCCATTATGAAAAAATGATTGATTGATTGATTGTTGTTTGCTTTACGCCTCATTAGCAAAAAAATGAAAAAATGAAGAAATGAATTAATAATAAAATGAAAGAATAAAAGAACAGAGTTCCAATGTCCCCCTGCTTTGCACATATTTTATCTATCCAAGGGCAATAACTATTGATAACACTTTTTACAAATGCCTTAGAGAAATGAAGGCTTGAAAGCAAATACAATGCAATTTCCAATATAATTAATATTTCCAAGGGACATAACTCTTCTAAAAATATTGATTGGCACTGATTTACGAAATTGTCCGAGGCATTGCTTATATTAATAATCCTTTGACATAAAGGTGAAAAAAATTATGGCAAAAATTGTACACATGAGAGCTCATAGAATGCCATTTTCCATATAATAAATATTTCAAAGGGCATAATAATTTTAAAAAATATCTTATTGGCTCTGATTTTTTTACTTGTCCAAGACATTGCTGATATAAACTTTTGATATAAATTTGATAAAAATCTGGCTAAAATTGTACACATGGGAGTGCTAACAATGCAATTTTCCATAAAATTAATATTTTCAAGGGGTATAACTATTTAAAAATAATAGATCAGCACTGATTTTCGAACTTTCCAAGATATTGCTGATATAAACCTATGATATAATTTTGATTAAAATCTGGCAAGAATTGTACACATGAGAGCACTAAGAAGTCCGAACAGAAGGACGCATGGATGGATGCCCGGTATTTCAATGCCCCCCCCCCACAGCGTGTCCCAAGGGGGACAATAAATGAATGAAAATATTGTTTACATCTTCAACAAGAAAGTCAATCTGCAATCACGTCTATGTATGGCTGCCTTTGAAATTCCACTGTTTCATTAAAAAGAATGGCGAACGTAGATACAAGTATCTTGTCTTGGGGAGGGATAAATCCTTCTTTGTAAAGAATCACTCTGATTCAAACAAAAAATTCTCTCTGAAACTGACATTATCAAGATGCTTGATTTCTTGATTGACAACATATTTGTTACGTTTGGAGGACGTGTTTTTCAACAGACTGTCGGAATTCCAATGGGAACCAATTGTGCCCCTCTTCTTGCCGACTTGTTTCTTTATTATTATGAGGCTGAATTCATACAGGAACTTCTTAGGAAGAAAGATAAGAAGTTAGCAATATCCTTTAACTCAACGTTCCGCTATATACATGATGTTCTCTCACTAAATAATACAAAATTTGGTGACTATGTTGAACGAATCTATCCCATCGAACTAGAGATAAAGGATACTACAGATACAGTTAAGTCTGCCTCATATCTTGACTTACATCTAGAAATTGACAATGAGGGTCAGTTGAAAACAAAACTTTACGACAAAAGAGATGATTTCAGCTTCCCAATTGTGAACTTTCCATTTCTATGTAGCCAACATTCCAGTAGCGCCTGCATACGGAGTATATATCTCCCAATTGATACGATATTCCCGGGCTTGTGTTTCCTATCATGATTTCCTTGATAGGGGATTGCTGCTCACGAGGAAGCTATTAAGCCAAGAGTTCCAAATGGTGAAGTTGAAATCATCCCTTCGTAAATTTTACGGACGCCATCACGAGTTGGTTGACCATTATGGAATAACCATTTCACAGATGATATCGGATATGTTCCTTATGTCGTAACTACAATACCCTTCCCTTTTCACGAATATGACTTACCGAATTAGACTATTTACCGGATTTGTAATAACATAAGCAACACGACGGGTGCCACATGTGGAGCAGGATCTGCTTACCCTTCCGAAGCACCTGAGATCACCCCAAGTTTTTGGTGGGGTTCGTGTTGCTTAGTCTTTAGTTTTCTATGTTGTGTCATCTGTACTATTATTTGTCTGTTTGTCTTTTTATTTTTGGCCATGGCGGTGTCAGTTTGTTTTCGATCTATGAGTTTGACTGTCCCTCTGGTATCTTTCGTCCCTCTTTTACAAGCTTTTTATGATTTTGAGTATCATTATGGGATATCTGTGTCTTCTGTATTGACATGAATTATCATTGATTTGGTCATAATTATAAATGAACTGTTAACAAAACTTGGAATTTTTCGACAAAATAAGGATTTTCTACCCCAGGGATGAATACCTTAGCTGTATCTGGCAAAACCTTTTGGAATTTTGGTTCCTCATACTTTTCAACTATGTACTTTATTTGGCCTTTTTTTTTAAACTTTTTTCATTCAAGAGTCACTGATGAGTCTTTTGTAGAACAATTTTAATCCTGGTATCTATGCGTTTATTTCTAATTGTCACCAAAACTCTGTCCTCTTTTTCCTCCATTGTGACATAGCAAAATGCAACGTATCACTGACATTTACATGCCACTAGTGGAGCAGAAATTAAAATGTGCATACCTTTCAAAATTATGAGTAGCTGCAGCAACTTTATATCTGACCATAAAGGTGGCAAGAACATCTGCTACCTGTAACAAAAATAATAACAAAATAATACTTTCTTTCATCCTAACAATCATAATAAACACATTTTTAAAGTCAAACAGATGAGGTGAAAAATATGATTATTACTTTTATAAAATAATAACAGAACACTGGTATATTACATAAACTAAGGATTTTCTACCCCCAGGAATAGATTACCTTAGCTGTATTTGGCAAAACCTTTTGGAATTTTTGAATCCTCAATGCTTTTCAATTTCGAAATTGATTTGACCTTTTAACTTTTTTGATTCAAGTGTCACTGATGAGTCTTTTGTAGACCACACACGCATGTCTTGATCTCTATTCAAACTGTATTATCAATACTTCACACTTAGGTGACGTAATTATGAATAGCAGCAGCAAACACATTATGTTTATGCGTTACTTCCAACATACTGGGGGCCGTAAATGAATTACTTTACAATAAATAAAAATGATCACTAATTAAATGATAAAAGTTCTGAGAAAATAAATTAAATCTTTAAAGTCTCTAAGTAATAATATTCAACAGTCCATGGTTATTCACTTAAATGTCCATATACTAATCAGGGGCGGATCAAGCCATTTTTTAAAAGGGGTGGGGGGTGTCCCAACCCAGGATAAAGGGGGGGGTTCCAACTATATGTCCCCATTCAAATGCATTGATCGTCAAAAAAAAGGGGGGGGTTCCAACACCCGGAATCCCCCCTGGATCCGCCACTGCTAATCATATATTTACTTTAACTTTTTACAATTTACATTTAACACTTGTCAGTCCATGTTTTTATTTTCTTTTTTGCCTCACACTAAGCTGCTTTAGTTTCAACTTCCAAAGAATTCAGTTCTAACGGATAAAGTTTGCTGATTGGTTAAGATGTCACTCCATTCTTGGTTCGAAATATGGCTGATCTTGTAAGTCCATCTTTGCAGTAAACTAATTTGTCAATTACAGCCAAAGTCCAATTTACTCTTAAAAAATCGTCATGAATCTGAACTCCGACATAGATATTCTGTGTGTTTCGATCACTGTTTCGGTAATGTTCCCTTAGTGAAGTTAAGTATTCCTGTCTCCATCTTTTAATGAAGTTTTTAAGAATTAACGATAGAAAATTCAATTGTCTAGTTACTGATTCACGGGTAGTGTCTTTGGCTCCTGGTTGTAAACTACAGTCTTCAAGTCCGTTATACTGACAAAGGCTGGTAGTTGTTTGTCAGTCTTTAGTCAGTTCAGTACTATCTTACTATCAGTCCAAAGTGTCGCATGTTCAATATCAATATGTTACATAAGATGATTCAACAGTCTAGCTTCTATAACAGATGCCATTAATTCAAGTTTTGGAATTGTCATGTTTACGTATAACAGCATTTAGAATGAAGGAAAAGCAAGTTGCTCCATATAATACTGACTTGAATCTGTATGTGGTAAGTTAACTATTTGGGTCATCCAGGTTACTAAGCCAAAAGAATCTGGTAACATCATGATCATCTTTATCAAGACCAATATTAAGAAAGGCTTTCTATATATCAGTTGCCCCAGCATATTTCTGCATTCTAAATCGGAGAAGAACTCCGGTTAAGTCATTCAAGTTTGGCGAAAGATCCATCAAGCAATCATTTAAACTCCGACTAACAGGTTTGCAGCTGCAGTCAAATACAATTCTGATGGGCATGGTTGACGACTCTATACGTACATGATGGTGAGGTATGTAGTGAACCTTTGTGTTGGTTGATTGTTCATCAACTCTCTTGATAAACCCAAGTTTTTCTTGTTCATTTATAATTTGTCCGTATTTCTGCAAAAGTGTAGGTTCACGACTAAGACGCTTAATGACATTTTCAGTTCTCCGTTGTGCAATACTTCTGTTGTCTAGTAAGGTAGGGTGTTCCTCATTACAAGGAAGCTTAGCAACATATCTGTTTTCAAAGTAGCTAATACAATTTTCTTCATATACATCCTGGTCACTGCACCAATATTGTTAATTGGGTAAATCAGGCAACTATAGACTAACAATAACAAAGGCGTCTAGCATGTATGGATCTCTATTCAAACTCTATTATCAATATGTGACTTTACAATGAATAGCGGCAGCGAGAACGTTATTTTAATGTGTTATTTCCAACATCACCCTCCCAGTAGTCAGCACTTTTGTGTTGAGACGACATATCAATGATATATGGTCAAATATATAAATTAACAGTTCATAAAATGCTGAAGTGTTAAAAAAAAACTACGGATTTTCTACACCCAGGAATAGATTACCATAGCTGTATTTGGCAAAACCTTTTGGAATTTTTGGGTCCTCAATGCTCTTCAAGATTTTCTTGATTTGGACTTTTAACTTTTTTTATTAGAGCGTCACTGATGAGTCTTTTGTAGACGAAAATCATTTCTGGTGTACAATATGACAAGCCTGGTATCTTTGATAAGTTTTTATTTACAACCATTAGGTAGATGCCACTGCTGGTGGATGTTTCCTCCCCCATGGTATCACCAGCCTAGTAGTCAGCACTTCTGTGTTGACTTGATATATCAATGATATGGTCATATTTATAAATAACAATTTACAAAACTTTAAATTGTTGGAAAAACTGTGGATTTTCTAATTTTCTTCCCCTGGTTATTACCTTACCTGTAGTTGGAAAAACCTTTTAAAATCTTTGGATACTTAATGCTCAACTTGGTACTTGATTTGGACTTTTAATCCAGCATAATGGATGAGTCTTTTGTAATCAAAACGCACGTCTGGCATACAAAATTATAAGCTTGGTATTCTTGATGTTTTCTTTTACAACCACTGGGTCAATGCCACTGCTAGTGGAGGTTTGCTCCCCAAAGGTATCACCTTTTTGGGTTGACATAGCATATCATTCATATGGTCAGATATTTGAATTAACAGTTTAAAAAACTATGAATTTTTTCGAAAAAACTAAGAATTTTCTACCCCCAGGAATAGATTACTATAGCTGTATTTTTGGCAAAGCCTTTTGGAATTTTTGGGTCCTACATGCTCTTCAATTTTGCACTAGATTTGGCCTTTTAACTTTTTTTATTTGAGCATGTCAATAATGAGTCTTTTGTAGACAAAACACATGTCTGGCATACAAAATTATAAGCCTGGAACTTTGTATGAGTTATTTTATATACCTTATCAGGACTGTCTTCGTGCACAGCATGACCACACTGAGGTAGAACCTGCATCTGGAACTTTCCTGAAATAATTTGAAAATAAGGAGATGTGGTAAGAAAGTCCTTTCACAACTTCAATATATCAGAAAAGAAGTGATATTATGTATTAATCAATGAAAAAAATTCCCTTTACACACTTAATTGCTGTTTTTCATTTCAAATCAAGCATTTTCCAAGGAAAATTGGAAATAATATCAATTTAACATTTTCAGGAAAATGCAGCACTTTGCCATCCTTTTGCCCAAATGTAATGTTAAATTGATCATTTGCAACACTGAATGTCAACCTTTAACACTTATTTATAATTTACTGACATGATATGACAAAGAAGCTTTACATATATTGAAAAATAAGTTTTATTTGACATTTTATTGAGCCACCATTTCAAGTGTATAACCACCATATGGAGACGATATTGTGTACTTAAATGCACTTTTAATGTTTTTCTTAACTAGAATGCAATATTTCCATCAGGCTCCAATTTCATTTTGACTACATTTACAATAATAAAAAAAGTAATTTAACACAGCAAGCTTTACTAAAGCAATTGAAACATTAATTTTTAACACAGATAAAAATGTGTCATAATGGTATAGTTAAAAAATTCAAAACAGGCACTTCATTCTCTGGTGAAAATAGAGTGGAAAATATTAAATGGGTACCGATGGGCAATTCATTTCAGGTTTGCGGTAATGATAGCCTATTCCTCAATTCCTCTGCTCATATTGTAAACTTGGATATGTATGATGTCTCGTTTTGAAGTAGAGACATTTTCGCATAAGTGGGTAAATTTTTCAGGGTAAGAAGTGAGATTTGTTTTTCCATAATTTAGCAGACCCCGAAAAGCCTTTTGTGATGCGGAGGTAAAAAAATCCCTTTTTTCACACAATAAGTTCTTTGGAAATTTAGTTCTTTGCATACATTTAATAACTCCATAGTTTTTAAACCTTTATTCTATGGTCCTCTGCTCTCCACATCAGCACAAATGGTTAAGCTCAGTCTCTTGTTACAAATTGAAATATGTCCAATATCACTACAGAGATCCTCAATTTGAGGCACATTAGGGATATTGACCAAAATGCCTACAATCCACCCCTTTTAATTTATAGAAAAAGGAAAAGATGATGTGAAACTTGAAAATCTTTTAGATAAAAAAAATCAGTGATTGTGAGTACTGAAAGGTAAAGATTGGTTTCATTTTTCAATGTGAATCAAAATCAAACATGTATTGTGCAAAGAAACACATTTAGGCAATACCTTTAATTGCAGTTATTGCTATCTTCCTTTGTCCATAATTTTAGATGAACGTATTTTCAGACAAATAGATTCAAACACCATGAAAAACTTGTGTAATTTTCTTTGAAACAGTTTTTTTGACAAGTATGGTTATAAATTGCTTGACATGTACATTGATAGGGTCAAAAGAATGTTCCTCTCCCCCACATGCACTATGTTGTTTGTGAACTCAATTGTAGAGATGAGGCAATATTTTCCCCCAAAATAGGTGTATGTTGGTATTATGAAAGGGGGAATCCATAAAATTTACATTTATTATCTTGTTTGAGTCAAGTTGATGTAGAGAGGTATGTAATAATAGCCAATAACACTAGCTTAAATTGATTTCTATGTTATCTGTACAGATAACACATAAATGTGTGCCTGAAAGCAAAACAAAATGACCATGTAGACATCTGTAATACTTCCAATTTTATAAAGAACAAAAATACACATGAATTTGTGGGGGGGGAATGAAAAAGATTTTTCAATAGTAGTAATAATCTGCACTTTTTCTACCACTTTTATCCCCCCACCCCCATTAATAGAAGTTAATTTCTTTGAATTAGCAAACTATCATATGAACATTTCTTGGGATATTAGTTTATTCCTCTCACTGCAATTTAATATATTTATATATTTTGTCACTAGAAATTTTGATGATGTCTTTTAAAAAGTAAAATAAAGTGAAGAGATAAAGATAACATGTTTTCTCTTCAAATTAATTTCTGTGAATATTGTAAGTGACACCTACCCTGCATCTGACCTATGGTAAGCTCTTTGTCTAGTCTATCCACCCCTGCAACACAATATTTGAATCATGTAACAAAATGCATCAATATATATATCTAGCATATGAACACATGAAATAATACACTTTGTTGGTCTTGATAGGCTTCTTGGTGTGGTTCATAAGTGTTTCTAGTTTCTCGTTTTTTATATAGATTAGACCGTTGGTTTTCCTATTTGAGTTGTTTACACTAGTCTTTTTGGGGCCCATTATAGCTTAATGGTTAGTGTGAGCCAAGGCTCCGTGTTGAAGGCCGTACTTTGACCTATAATTGTTTACTTTTTACACATTGTGACTTGGATGGATAGTTGTCTCATTGGCACTCATACCACATCTTCTTATTTATATTATAAATGTTATTTCTGAATTTTTTGTAGCTTTTTGCCATTTTTAAAGAAAATAAAAGAACAGATTTCCATTGTCCCCTTCGTTGCACATATTTTATCTATCCAAGCTACACAAATGCACTTTTTTGTTGTTCTATAAGACTTTTTATTAATATCTTAGGGAAATGAAGTCTTCAGAGCAAATGCAATGTGATTTCCGTTATACTTAATATTTCCAAGGGGCATAACTCGTTAAAAACATTTGATCAGCACTAATTTTCGCAATTGCCTAAGACATTGCTGATATAAACCTATGATATAAGTTTCATAAAATTCTGGCAAGAATTGAACTTATGAGAGCACTACAATATGACTTTCCGTATAATCAATATTTCCAAGGCGCATAACTCTTTTGAAAATAATTGATTGGCACTGATTTTCAAACTTAACAAAGACATTGATGATATAAACCTATTATATAAATTTCATAAAAATCTGGCAAGAATTGTACACATTAGAGTGTTGATAAGGCAATTTATCATATAATTAATTTTTTCAAGGGGCATAACTCTTTAAAAATTTTTTGATCGGCACTGATTTTTTTAACTCTTCAAAGACATTGCAAGTATTAACCTATGATATAAGTTTAAAAAATGTGGATAGTGTCCACATGTGGACACAGATGATGCCCCCGCTTGCATATCATATAGTTATAAAGGGACATAACTGAAGAATGGTAAAAGTGACGCTACCCATTACTTACTACTTATTTGATAATATAAGGACAAGGTTACAACACAGAAAATAGACAAAATGTATTGAAATTCTTGTTTTTAACTGAAATTAATAAAAAATGCTTTTACAAGTACTCATTCTGACATCTCTGAACTAGTAACTATAAAATTATACAAACTTATATCTAGAAATAAGAAATAATTTAATTACTTATATTGAAAGTGACTCAATGGTATTTTTTTTTGTGTTTTTTTTTATCTCCCTTGAATCAATATGTCCAATTATTTCTGTCAAACAATATGTTTATACATTACTATTTTATAATAATAAGAAATATTGATGACAATTTATATTATATAGAAACTTTATGGTAAAATTAGTATACTTAGAACTAGAGTATACAATCATGACATTTATAATGTTTAAGGTGACTTAACTTGTATTTTTTGTTATCTCCCTTGAGTCACTAATTCTTATTATTCTTATAATTGAACATGTAAATATATACTACTCACACTTACAATTATAAGTGACATTTATGGCAAATATTAATGTAAAGATATTATTCTGTATAAACTGAAAAATTGTGAAACATTGTTCATAATTATGAAAATGCTTTATCACAATTGTCATATTGAATCCATTGAATATTTTTTCAAACTTTTTCTCATTTATTGTTTTTTTTTTCATTTATTTATAAACACTCCTTTGAAAATTATCCTGTTTGACATCCCCATTCTAATAACTTTTCTGTGTTTACATCATTATTGGAAAATTATTTTTATTTCTTTCATTCAACTACTTGATGTAATTTGGATGCAAACATTTTATGATCAATGAGTTCATTAAAGATTTTGTCTGTTAATTGTCAAGGCCTTCGGAACAAATTAAAAAGAAAAGACGTATTTGATATGCTGAAGTCAAAGAACTGTAATATATATTGTATTCAGGATCCTCATTTTACAAATGATATAGAAAACATAGTGAGATCTATGTGGGGTTATGAGTGTTACTTTTCATCTGTTAGCTCAAACTCTAGAGGTGTAGCTATTTTGTTCAATAATAATTTTGAATGCAAAGTGTTGAAAGAAAAAAAAGATATATATGGAAACTATTTAATTTTAGATATTCTTGTAGAAAATAGAATGATAACTCTTGTATGTCTATACGGACCAAATACAGACAATCCAGATTTTTTTTCCAATATTATGTCTGTTATTGATGATTTTGAAAATGAATACTTTGTTACTTGTGGTGATTTTAATCTTGTCCAAAACCAATGTATAGATTATTGCAACTATGTGAATATTAACAGTCCTAAAGCTAGGGAAAAAGTTCTTGAATTTATTGAAGAAAGAAATTTGATAGACCCATATAGAGAACTTTTTCCAGATGTACAGCGATACGCTTGGAGGAAGAGAAATCCTTTTAAACAGGCTAGATTAGACCTTTTTCTTCTCACTGAAAACTTTTTAAACAGTCTAAAAAATTGTAATGTACTTCCAAGCTATTGGTCAGATCACTCTATGATTTTGCTAGATTTAGAATTTAACCCTTTCATTAGGGGAAAAGGTTTGTGAAAGTTTAACAACTCTTTATTATATAATATAGACTATATAAATACTATTAAGCAAAAAATACAGGAAGTGAAAAAACAATATTGTGCTTTAGTCTATAATATGGAAAATATTGACAAAATAGATAATACAGACATTCATTTTAGAATTAACTGTCAGCTTTTGTTTGAGACTCTTCTAATGGAAATTAGGGGGAAGACAATTTCATATTCAAGCTTTAAAAAAAAGCAAGACGAAAAAAGGGAAATATAAATCTTCGAAATGAAGAAACTCGATTAGAGGAAAGAGTTGATGAACATTCCATTAACGAATTAGAAGCAAAAAAAACATGAGCTTGAAAGTTTACAAACACAAAAATTAAAAGGGAAATTAGTAAGATCCCGTGTCCGATGGATACAGGAAGGGGAAAAACCTACTAATTATTTCTGTGGCTTAGAATCATGAAATTTTATGAGCAAAATTATTCCTAAAGTAGAGAAAGAAAATGGGGAAATTATAACAAAACAAAAAGATATTTTGAATGAAGTTAAATATTTTTATGACATTCTATATAAAAAAAGGGATACTAAAAGTACTTTAAGCGATCTGAAAAAAGACTTGAAAAACTTAAGTGTTCCTATACTTTCATCTCAGGAAAAAGAAAGCTTGGAAGGTATACTTACTGTTAAAGAAGCTGGAGAAGCATTAAAAAAAATGAAAAACAACAAAACTCCTGGAACGGATGGTTTTTCAGCAGAGTTCTATTAATTTTTTTGGAAGGATCTTCAAATTTTTATTGTAAATTCTTTAAATTATGTAGCAAAAACAGGGGAACTATCTGTTACACAAAAACAAGGGGTTATTACTTGTTTACCGAAAGGGAATAAACCCCGCCACTTTTTAAAAAACTGGCGCCCAATATCTTTACTGAATACTGTGTATAAAATTGGATCAGCAGCTATTGCAAACAGATTTAAGAGTGTCCTCGATAAATTGATAAATTTTGATCAGACTGGTTTTATTAGTGGTAGGTATATTGGGGAAAATATAAGACTCATTTATGATATATTACAGTACACAGAGGAACATGAAATACCAGGGTTATTACTATTGATTGATTTTGAAAAAGCTTTCGATTCCATATCATGAGACTTTTTGATAAATGTTTTAAAATTTTTCAATTTTGGCGAATCTATCATTAATTGGGTTAAAGTTTTTTACAATAATATCAACTCTGCTGTCATCCAGGGGGGGGGGGGGGGACCTTTCAGATTTGTTTACTATTGGTAGAGGTTGTAGACAAGGGGACCTCCTGTCTCCATATCTTTTTATTTTATGTGTTGAGATTCTGGCATTGAAAATAAGGGGAAATAGTGACATTAGTGGTATAAAGGTCACACGGGTGGAGCATAAATTGTCATTATTTGCTGATGACACCTCTTTGATTTTGGATGGGAGTGAAAAATCTCTGCAAGAATCATTATTAGAATTAGACTGGTTTGCAAAAATATCTGGACTGAATATTAACTTCACAAAAACACAAGTTATTTGGTTTGGGAGCAAAAAATATAGTACAGATACATTATGTCCTAACAGAAATCTGTCTAGGGGTGAAACTACTTTTAAATTACTAGGAATCAATTTTGATGTAGATCTTGAAAAATTGTTAAGATAAATTATTCTGAAAGAATTGTACAGATTAAAAATACTTTAAATCAATGGCCTAAAAGGAATCTAACTGTAATAGGTAGAATAATAAAGGCAACAGTAGTATACCGCTGTTCGAAACTCATAAATCGATAGAGATAAAAACAAATCCAGGTTACAAACTAAAACTGAGGGAAACGCATCAAATATAAGAGGAGAACAACGACACAACAAAAACACAACATTAAAATGTAACACACACTGAAACGAACTATAATATAACAATGGCCATTTTCCTGACTTGGTACAGGACATTTTAAGAAAAAAATGGTGGGTTGAACCTGGTTTTGTGGCATGCCAAACCTCCTGCTTTTATGGCAACGTCTAACACAACACCAAAACGACAACATCACATGACAGGACCACAATACAAATAAATGGGAGAACATATAGGACAAAGAAACACACGAATAATAGCTAACAAAAGGTACTAGGCTTAAAATTCAATACGCCAGACGTGCGCCTCGTCCACACAAGACCAACCAGTGACGCTCAGATGAAAAAAGTTTGAAAGCCAAAACAATTACAAAGCTGAAGAGCACCGAAGACCAAAACTTCTAAAAAAATGCGCCTAACACGGCCAGGGTTTTCTGCCTGGGACAAGAACATCCTTATTATTTAGAATAATTTATAATTTTGCAAACAGTAAATTTTATAAAATGACTATATAATAGATATACATGAT